GAAGTCATAATGACTGCTCTAAACTAAATGGCTTTCTGTCAGAAATCAGCCAGTGGTCCAAGGAAAACGGTCTTACCTTAAACCCCTCCGAATGCCAAACAGTCAATTTCACCTTTAGGCATAAATCCGACCTAAATAAACCGGTTGGCTCTCACGAGGTGTGCAACATAGATGGCACTGAAATAGAAACCAAGTCGAAAATTAAATACCTATGCGTCATTCTATCCGCTGATCTTTCCTGGTCGTCTCACATCTTGATGATTTCTGAGAAAATATTCCGTCTTACCTTCTACATCAAGAAGTTAAGACATTCTGGATTAACCCCACCCTTACTCCTACGATTCGTTAATTCTTGCATCCTGCCCATTATTCTCTATTGTTCCCCCTTAGTTTTTCCCGGGCTACTGAAGAAAGACTATACCTTATTACGCAGGATGTTAAAGGTTGTCAGCAGGGTAAGCTCGTTAATATTCTAGTTGACAAGCACTTGAACTCATGTAAAAAATGGGCTGAATCTATTTTATATAACTCACACCACCCTCTTCATTCACAACTCTCCCCTTGTATCTCATCAGGCACAACCAGAAACCTATTTAGAAAACTATATGCTCTCACTAGAAAGTATAAAAACTCAACCATACCCTACTCAGCCCGTGTTCTGTGCGATAAAGAAAGCATTAGGCGTGACACCAATAAGTCATTAAATAGTCAGTAGAACAACTGGACCTCGTCTTTCCAACTCATATCATTTATAGGTACAACATTTTCTTTCTTTCTTTTCCTTTTCTCTCTCTTTTTTTTTTCTCTGTTATGTGCTGCTTTGTTTCTTTCTTCCGCTTACGCCAGTAAATATGATAGCACCTGCTTTTCTAACACCTTCAAACACTGTTCAACTTTGGCTTTGCTGCCGACATGCCAATATGTTGTTGTCATAATGAACTGAGATTTCCTTAATCTATGTAGAATTCTATTTATTGATAATGTACTAACTGGATGCAATACTGTAGTAAAAATGCTGAGAATTCCATTCTGTATCACAAGTACTGTTTTGGAATAAAGCAAATTATTATTATTATTATAACACAGGTGGTTAGGATTAAAATAGAGGCGTAAATCACTTACCTGAGAGTGATTCATAAGGAATTAGAAGATAGTCACTAGAGATTTTTGGGCAAATAGCTCCTAGTCAGTATATGTAATATAGCATATTTGCCATGAAACACACTGACACTTTGTTTTCTTCAAAATATCAGCACATTACTATTGACCCTTGTCTAAAAAGCGTACTCTCTACTCATAGCATACACTTTTCAACCTTCAGTCAATTTATCTTTCAATTAAAAAGCAAAACACGTAGTGTTCAGCAAAGAGGTTCTCTGGGGGGGGGGGGGAATTCATTTTCCTAATTAGCTGTACAATCGCATTTATATACAATCACTTTTCATGAACAGGGATAGTAACAAAAGTGATGAGTTGTCATAATCATAGTTGTTCATATTAATCAATACGAAAGGAAAGTTGAGTAGAAAGGTGTTAGGGTTACGTAATAGAACAAATAATTTAATGAGTGAATGAGTTGCAGTCAGGATGCATAACTCACTCACTAAATCGTTCATCTTATTACGTAATCTGGAATACAATTATTCAACTACCCTTACTTATTCAGGTGAACATTGAGAAAACATAGGTGGGTGATGAAGATTCCTGGCCAACAACAACAGACAACAATCAGCATAAATGGGAGAAATTTGAAAGAAGCAAAGTCCTTTACCTACCTACCTACCTTCCTACCTGACAAACATCGTTCCAACTACAGGCGGACGGAATTGATAAAGATATCAAAGCGAGGGTCGGGAAAGCAAGGCAAGCTTTCATTACTCTCAAGTCTGTGTGGAGGTCAACAACAGTCATCATGAAAAATAAGATCCAGATTTTAAACTCCAATGTGAAGTTAGTGCTACTCACTATACAGATCTGACACTTGGCGCCACGCCATGTCACAAAGGGCACTTCGAACAAACTACACACCTTCATCAACAGCTACCTGTCTTCGCTCAATACTACTCAAGATCAGATGGCTGGCCAGAAAAGATCGTCAACAGGGATCTCTGGCAATGAACGAACCAACCCAGCAGGAACCAATTGTGCAACAAATATGCAGAAAGAAATGGAGGTGGATTGGTTATACTCTGAGAAAACAAACCATCATCAAGTGAGTGACATCACACGCCAGGGCATCGCTCGAGTAGAATCCGGCCGAACGGAAGGCGGCGAGTTGGTCGCCAGTGCGAGAGTAGGGTGACATGGAGGAGGTCATGAAGAGAAGAGGAGATGAAAGCATGTGGGCAGATGTGGAGCCAGGTGATGAAAACGTTGGCAGAGAACCGAACGCAATGGAGACTTGCGTTTGAAGCCCTATGTTCATCTAGGAATTAAAAGAAACAATAATAATAATAACTATAACAGTGTCAATTCATCACTTTTGTTACTACACTCTTTATGAAACAGAGAGTGTATGTAAATGCGATTGTACAGGTAAATAGGAAAATGAATTCACCCATAAAGAGCCTCTCCGTTGAATACTACGTGTTTTGTTTTCACATTAATGTCTGAATGGAGATTATTCATGAATTTATCTTTCCTGCTACTTTTAAAAAAAGATCAACTCGACATGGTTTCTCTCTGTGTGTATGTACAAAATTGGGCGTATCTCTACTCTGCTTAATTTCAACAATGAATGTGTTACATACACCTGAAAACTCACTGTAGTCAATAATTTCAAGTTTCTACCTTCCTTAGACACCTAATGCACAAGTACAATCATGAATGTTATCACCCCCACACACACTCACTATGTTGTCTTGAAAACATTTGGTTGATGAAACCAGGAAAATGTTTCCACAAAAAAAAGAAAAATAACCATCACTTTTACTTACCCTAAGTCCATAAATTAAGCTATAATAATTATTTTACTTCGTTTAAATATGATATACACATAATTTCTTTATTAAGGAAATTATAACTATGTATCGTAGTGGTTACCATTACCCTGGATGTTAAAAATAATCCATCTTCAATAGTGACATTGAATTTCTTCCCTTCTATAGACATAAAGAAACTTAGAAATTCATACTATGAATCATTAAATATTCTCATTTAATTGAATTTTAGAATTTCCCGTCGACTGATGATTGAACCGAAGTGCTCGGTCTCAGGTTGACATGTTGGCTTTTTGTGCAGATGCTTCGACGATGTCTCGTCATGTAATTAGAATTTCATTGGTGCATGCTGACTAGCAATGGAATCCAGGATAACGCGCATTTCGTCCTATTTGGCAGGTACATCCAGATGACGAGTCCCAAATAGGACGAAGTGTGCGTTATCCTGGCTGGATTCCCCTGCTAGTCACCATCCACCAATTAAATATTCTCATTGCTAAAACTCCTGAAACTGACATTCAATGGAGACGTGACTAATGAAGTCCTACATCTAAGATTATCTAAAGCCATAAAAATAAGGGACTTATACTGCTGCCTCGCCGTTTGTTTGTCATTTCCCATCTGCTGACCAATTTATCGAGTGGTCAAGCGAAAGATAAGCTGAGCTGGCTTCTAGCTGTGCCATATCTTTTTTGTTGTTGTTTAGTTTTGACTTATCTGAGTAACACACAAACACCTATAGTCTTAACAAAATACACATCACCAATACTGTCTACATGCACACAGTATTCCCATCAAATAAATTCATTATCGAGCATTTTACAAACAATGAGGATAGATTTAATTCAATTTTAGATTTTCCCGTCGATTGATGATTGGACCGAAGTACTCAGTCTCAGGTTGACAAGTCGGCTCCTTGTGCAGATGCTTCGACGATCTCCGGGGAATGTAACTAGAAGTTAACTGGTGGATGGTGACTAGTAGTGGAGTCCTGGGATTCAGAATCCAGAATCCTGAATGTACCTCTGCATCCCAGATGACGAGTTCCAAAAAAGTGCGAAACGCGCATCCTGCATTCTACTGCTAGTCATCATCCACCAAATGAGACGATAGTAGATAATTGAAATCCTAATTGAGGCATTCCATCCTACACTTACTTATAATAAAACAGTTCTATCAAAGAGTCAGAATTTTTATTATTATTTTTTTCTCCAATCAATACATAATATTTCATCAGTATACAGCATCAAAAAATTAATGATCACATGAAAAACAAGATTATATATGAATGAAATTCTGTAAAGTCTAATCATCATTATACGCGTATACAAATTTGATAATATTTACATAATGTTATAGTGCCAAACAAAGCGTAATCTAACAACGCCTACCTAGTTCACTTTCAAAAATATGTATGTACAGAAACACTCGAAGGAGAACAGCAATAATAATATTAATAATAATAAATAAATAAATAGATAAATTTGCAAGGGTAATTCGATTAATTACAGTTTATTATCAAAGTACATACACTCTCAATTAAGCACGCAAAAACTGTGTTGATTACTTATTTATTTATCGTAGCTACACTCATGGAAGACATAAACGATCATGATTTATAAAAAAAAACACAAACAAAAACAACTATGCACAACTGATGATTAGAAAAATTGAATATAATTGAAACATAAACTATTAGTGGTATTTTTCTTTTCTTGTCCCGGGGCTTCAATGTGTATGTGCAAAAAGCGCGCGCCAACGCATAATAGTACAAAATAATCAATATTGTTATCCTTTCGAAGAAGTAGAAGTAGCAGAGGAAAAAACAACACCATAAATAAAATTTGAGTAAAATCTAACTGAGAATTAGATAGAACTAAGTTGTTTTTTTATGCATAACTATTACTAATACTACTACTACAACAGTCCCCTGGCCTTCTCAATACACCTCCTCATCACTAGCCAATACTTCTCAAATAGGGAAGAAAAACTAAAATTTAAAATTAGAAAAACAACAACAAAAAAACAAATCAAAGATAGAAAAAAAAGAGGGACAACTAACTATTCATCTGAATTCTGTACAGTAGTATTTTGAACATCACTCAACCATTGAATAACACGATTATGCGAAGCACACCAGATATCATTGAATTCTAAGTTGAACATTTTTTCTAAATGATTTATAGTGTTTAAAAAGGCATTATCAGTGTTATTTAAATCAGCATTGGTTTCCACTAGAGAACAGTGTTGCTTTGATAGGAATGATCGACACTTTTTACAGTTTTCTTGTAAGTTATTATTATTACTATTATTGTTATCATTCGGTAGAGAATTTCGATTTGTTGTACAGGACTGTTGACTGGCATGAAAATGATGATGGTGATGATGATGATGGTGGTGATGATGGTGATAATAATGATGGTGATGATGACTAGGATATTTATGACGAAAATGAGGAAGATTTTCATTATCACTTTCTAATGAATTCATCTTATCTTTAACTTCAGTACCATTGAATGATTGCTGTGGTTGGTGTTGTTCCCGGTGGTCCACCTCTTCTTCTTCTCCTTCTTCTTCTTCATTATTTAAAGAATTATTCTGCTTTTCTATACTTTGATGTTGACTATGATTTTGCTGTTGGTGATGATGATGATGATAATGATGATGATGATGTGAATAATGTCTATGATGAGCATAATCTGGTTCTTGATGATGTACAGAGAAATCAGCATCTGACAATTGTCCAGTGAATTTAATCGCTTTTCTATCTGTAGCTGGTGATTGCGAGGAACAAGTTTTTAACCATGTACTCCAAGTAGAATCATCATTTGGTGAATCTACATCATTAGATGCTATTAGATGCATACTACTAGAGGATAAACCACTTATTCTAGAAAGAGGAGGTAGAATATCTGTATCCAAGGTGTCATCAAGCCACATTAAAGAGGGTTGATTCGATTCTTTATTCGCTCCAAAGTTGTCGTTGTTATTGTTGTTGTTGTTGGTGGTGGTGGTGGTGTCATGGTATCCAGTTAGCTCTTGTTGTTGCTCCTGAATCTTTCCTTCATCATGAGGAATGAAAGAGAATTTTTCTAATGAGTAACATCCATTATCCATTAATGGATTATATGCGACCTGATATTCCATTATCATTTCTATTGACGATTCATTGTTATGCTCAAAGAAATGTGAACGAAATACTTCCAGATGACTTCTTTTCTACTCTGGATACTCGTCCAAATTTAGTAATCAAACAACAACATGACACAGTAGATAGGACTCCGGTAAGAACACCTACGTTAAGGTTTTAAAACAGAACACAGGACGCCTAGCAATGCTTTAATATAAGAAAAATGTAGTGTGCATCTACCAATCAAAATTAAAATGTCTATCTACCAATCAAATTGCCACTGATATTAAGTAGGCTGTTCACGTGATTAACTGATTGACCAATAAAAGTTTAGACCGAGTAGTCCGTAATTACTAAAATCAATACGCCTACAGTATTTGACATGATTGATATTGACTAGACTTAGCCTGTTCCATGAGATGCTCCAAGCTGTCGTTAAAACTATGTTTGAATAACACCAGCAGCGAAATGTAGAACTTGGTGCCTAACATTTTTCCTTGATTTTTTCATAGATTGAGTACTACCACCTGAAAATTGAACAGTTTGAAGTTACCACTTATTACGAAAGTATAAAAATATGAGCTTATCAATTCTACAGTCTCGTCCATTTCCCCCTTATGAATGTATGCCTGTGAAAGTAGTCAGCACATCTTGATTTTATATGATCATTGTGGGTGGCTTAGTGATAACATGCTTGCCAAATATACCACAAATGGTCTGGGGTTCGATTCCTGGCTGATGCACTGGTAAAACCAGCAACGTTAACCAGCTAATAGTGACCCTGAAAAAGGGGTCTCCTCGTTACTGAAACTTCAAGCAACTTGAAACCACTCGGAACACCAAGGGATGGCTAAAACTTATAGCGATATCAATATATCGATTTATTTTGACAGTATTCTATCCAGTTGTTAATGTCAGAAACTTCAATACAACCGCTTTAAATTTTAGTTAAGAACTGACATTACTTAGGAGAAGTCTTACAAACTAATTAGCACTAAATAGCCATCTTTTCTGATTCTAAAACGTTGTCCTTACACATCCACGACAATTCATAGTATCGAAAACTGTAGCGTAAAGTTGCTTTGAGAGAATGAAACCTGAAATGCTTAGTAGCGGTCTAAAAGATGGGTTAATTTAAGTTAATGTATCTTGACTTCAACAATGTCTGGTCTCCTGATACTCTCAGTACCATTCGAGTGATCAGTGATACATTGAGGTTTTTATTTTTATTGAGTAGGGTTGCTAGCTTCATGCCCCCCCCCAACCTTCCCTCTTTCCTAATCTTATTACTGGCTTAGAGAGGTAAAGGAGCTCGTGGGCGGGGGATCGAAACCCGAACTGCCTGCATGGTCGGCGAGCATTCTACCACTGTGCCACCGATGCATTATAATCCATGCTAGTTGGCGGGAATTCTATAGGTACGTTTCCACCTACCTGAACTCTACGGAGTATTCAGCCTGAACTAATCTATTCAGTGAAAAGAAAAGACATTCGATGCTAAGTTGAATTTCCAAATTCTTTAGCCATTATAAAATTAGAAAACAATTATTTTTCAAGAATACAATCACTGATCACCGAAGAGTAATCAGTGTAACACTACTGCATGCAAGGTGTTCTAACTGAAGCCTATTCACATTAGGATTTCACTGTGTAAAGAAAGACTTATCACTGAAATGAACTGTAAATTGAAGTTTGGCTTACAGTTAACTACTATCGGTAGGAAGTGTAGAATCTTGTTTTTCTGATTACGCACTGACCCCTACCTCACCTTCCCTCTCTTAAACAAGACGTATCTCGTAAAATCGGATGGAATCAGTGCCAGCTGTGGCATTGTAAACTGAACTTAGTTATTAATGTTAGGTGGAGAAAGTAAATAATCGAGTGTTCAAGTTTCGAAACTGTATTTTGGTGAAATCAGACAGTGAGATACCTCTTTCCCCCCCCTCTTTCTCCCTCTCGCTCACTATCACACATGCACACACTGACAAACACGTATGGAGAGTGAGAGGAACAGATACTGTGCAAATTGGTTGGAGTATTTCATCATGAGCTGACATCAGTTAGAGAACCACTGGAAAACCAGCAGAGAGTAGTGGACAGCTGTTTCGTCCTATTTTGAGACTCTTCACCACCCACTGCCAGGCTTCGAACCCACGACCTTCCAGTTACAAGGTGACTGCTGTCGTAGACCATTAAGCCACTGGAACCCGCCAATCCAACGGCCAGACCATGAATTCTGACTTCTGGCAATTCACGACATAACTGACGTCAGAACATGATGTAATCCTACAACCAATCAAAAAAAATACCACCACCACAAAACTAATACTTGAAAAATCATCTGATGCTCACTAGAGACTTGCTCTGTTCAGGTAGATAGTTACCTGGGAAGTCATGACCAGTAGGATACAGAAGGTTGAAGGTGAGGCAGTAACTCATCGAAGAAGACATTGGCTAGTGGTCACGTTATGTCATGAATCGGCAGAAGTTGGAATTTATGGACTGGAAATCGGGTTGGGTTCCAGTGGCCCAAATGACAATGCACTCGCCTTGTAACCAGAAGGTCCTGGGTTTGATCCCTAACGGTGAGTGCCTGCCGCTGAAGAGTCCCAAACTAGGCTAACGAAACGGCTGTTTAGCACTCCGGTGCTGGTTTTCCAATGGTTCTTTAACTGATGTCAACTCATGGTGAAATCCTCCAACCAATCAAACAAAAATATCCCTACAAAAACCAACACTTGAAAATGTGTAAATTGCTTAGAACTATTTCCTTATTTGGATATAATTGACGTCAGTGAATTATTATATTTTTTATACTTTTGATAGACAGAATACGAGTCTCAGTTATATTTAGTAATACATGAACTTGATTTTATCATGAGATCGTGCCTTTTTTTGTCTTACTCCTACATATGACGCTTATCATAAGACTGGTAAGCAAAAAATATCAAAATGTGACTATTATATGAGGCCATTTTATGTCGCTTAATTAAGTCAAAAATCCAGGGGGAATCAATCGCTAGAAAAGGAATGGCTTTATTAATCTGTGTGTAAAAATTGAGCACCGTGTTAGTGGAATTATATATTAATGCGTTTATTACATATATCACACACAGAGAGAAAGTGAAACAGTATTATTATTTACTGGATGACACCGTTTCGAACACAATTTATTATTGCTCATAATCATATCAATTATGACTACACAACCTTAAAACCTTCGTTTTATAGGTTTCTTTATTCCTTACTATTCGTCATAGGAGTAGAAGAATTTTCCCGATGTCCTGGTGGACAGATGTTGAATCATTTCTGTTACACGTATTCGATTGTCAATCTCTCCCTCCACCCTGTGACATTAGTTTCTGAAACTTTCATTTTATCCCACCAAACTATTGTATGGTTGTGTGGAATTGCATGTTGTGTAGTGCTACAGCTGAACTATTCTCTAGATTTCTTATCTTATTCGGGTCAATTAATCTAGATTTTGCTAGGTTTTTATGCTCGGCTAGTCTGACTGCCCCTGTTCTACTACTTTGACCTATGTATTTGACGTCACTGACAATCATTGCCGGAAGGGTATTAGATAAACTAAATTGTTTTGTTTTAAAGGCTCCACAGGATCCATCATTTAAGACAAAGCTTGTTTCTAATTGAGTTTTTGGGTTTGGACACCAGCCACTTTTATTCCTGCGTAAGGTTTCCTAGGTCTTTTGTTTGTATGGAATTACCACTGGTAATTGAAATTCCTTACCGTTGGTGTTGTCATCATTCGGAGCATGTTTGTCATGTATGCCATTATGATGATTATTAATTTTATTTTTACATTTTCCTACATACTTCCTGATTAATTTGTCTGGGTAATTATTAATTTTTAAAGCTTCTCTAATATGCCTTACTTCCGGTCTTAGATTTTCCTTGGTACTAGTTAGTTTTTGTACCCTATTACTTAAACATTTCACCAGTCCTATTTTTACTGACATACAGTAGGACGATCGGAAATCCAAATATCGGTTTGAATGTGCGCTTGGGTTTCCTGTAAACACTAGTGTTTAACTTCCCATCTTTTTTCCATTTTATACTACAATCTAACATTGGAAGCTCCTCTTCCTGACTTTCCAATTCATAAGTGAATTGAATTGCCTCTGCCTTCGATGTCATGTCTTCGACAAATCGATTCAAGTACAGTGAATGTATCATCTACATACCTCCACCATACTTTGAGGATGGGGTTTAATGTTTCAATGGCTAATTATCCCCACCTTCCCACGGAATATATCTGCCACAATCGAGGATATTGACGATGCCATAGTAACTCCCTTAGTTTGTTTGTATATTTTCCCTTGGAATTTAAATACTGTGGAAGTCAAGCATAGCTGCACTCCTAGCATTATGTCCTCTAGTGGGACTTTTGTTCTAAGTTCAAGTTATTGGTCAGAAATGAGTTCATTTCTGATCGCTTCTGTAGCCATATTTATTGGTGTGTGTGTGTGTGCAAGTTTGGTTACTCTATGTTAGAGGGGGTGGTGTGTAGGTGGCTTTGTGGTTAAAGTTGTATTCAATGAGAATAGCAATCTAATCACACTGAGGAAGACCAAGTCATCGGTGGATCAAATTGCAACTCTACTCACTAGCATCATCATCATCATCATCGACTTTGTAAAGACCTTTTGCAGCGTCGATCATGAAGTAATCTGCCAAGTGCATGAACACTGCTCAACACCACCAACTATTACATATTTCATTCAACATATTTATGATGACTTCATATGTCCAGTGATGATTCACAGAGGAAGATTCAGTGAAATCCTCGAAGTGAAAACAGGAGTAGGTTGAGGCTATCTAATATCTATCACTGATGAAATTTCTTGATACAGTGGACTGGATCGTGTGACGAACTGTGGGGAGCGAGAAAACAGGAGGCATACGCTGGATTGAAAAGAAGACTCTATAAGATCTGCACTTGGCAGATAATTTATTTTCTGGGCAT